TTTTGGACTTGCCCCCCTAAGCAGATTGGTGCAAGAACGAGGCAAGTGCGGACTTACCTCGTTCTTGCACCAATCTGCTTAGGGGGGCAAGTCCAAAAATCTCAGTTTATTTAACTAACAATGCACTTACGTACGTCGTTTTTACACCAATCGATCGGGCTTGGAACGTTGCATATAATGATGTTAAAACATTATTTTCGCCAAAATGTGGACTTGCCTCTTTCTTGCAGCAATGTCTTCAATTTCTATCAATAGTTAGAATATTCATCACGTGTTGCGAGTTATATTTCATTATTTTTTGTTTTAGGTCTTACTTACATATAATATATTACTTATTCGTACTTATTTTTGGTGGAACACTTCTTCAGTCACTTGCGAAATATTTAAGTCTTTTTCGTATTGATTTAAAATAAAATTAAGTACTGTGACTGGTTTCACATAATCTGTCTGATTTGTTATCGCTTCATCCACCTCGATGAAACCCTAGCCGAATTTAGGTCATCGGAACGCCTCGGGCGTTAGGTACGCGCATAAGTCTCATATATTAACGCCGTGGGTTCGTAGATAAGGAAGCGGGATGCAGTCTTAGACGGGATCACACAATTACAACACACCATTTTCCGCGACACACACCCACTTGCTGAGGCATAAAAACCCTTGCGAGTCAAGGGAAAAGCCCGAGCAAGTGCACTCTTTATTTGCCTTCGCTTCCCGGCCGCCGCATTAGCGGGCGCAGGGATCCATCCGTCATATACACACCCATTCACAATCGTCACTGTACGCAGTCGCCCTTACATCGAATACCGGTTCAACGTGCGGTAATTGTCTCTTCGCGCGACCGAGATGCCTACGGAGGCCCGAAATGGCGGCGCGTCCCTACCGATCAATACCGCCCCTTCCCCGCAGGGACCCTCGTCCCCCAAACCAAAGGCACAACCACCCCCATCCCGGGAACACGGCCCGCAACGGGACGAGCCGAGCCGCCGCACTCGGCCTCTCGTCCCCCAAACCAAAGGCACAACCACCCCCATCCCGGGAACACGGCCCGCAACGGGACGAGCCGAGCCGTCGCACTCGGCCTCTCGTCCCCCAAACCAAAGGCACAATTACCTTTATCCCTCCTGATTTCGCTCGCTCGCAACCGCGCCTCCCGGCACACCGGCCGGATCGGCACCCTCAATCGAGCCGAAGGGCGCTCGCCTTCTCCCGGTGGCAGGATCCGTTCGATCCTCCTGGACCGACGCCTGGCGGATGCGAGATCGCCTGGGCAGGGTCCCCGTTCCACCGTCGTCAAGCTGTGGACGGGCGTCGCGTAGTCTTCCGTGATTGTGGACTGGATACCGAGTATTCTGCAGGCGCTCTTCACGGCTCCACTCGCCCGTCCTCGTCCTCTCACCGCGGCAGGCTATCCCTTGCAGAATCTGTCCGGTCTTCCCGGTGATCCTTGTCCCTCGACCGCTACTGGCTGGTTCTCGAATCGTACTGTACGTCTCTTCCGGATCGCACCGCACTGTCGCACCGGAAGGGAAGGGTGTGTGAGGTGACTCGCACGCCGCGCTCGCTTCCGCTCACACCTGCGCGCCGCGCACGCGCGGCCGGCACCGCCGAACACCTTCGCCGTGCCGCGGCCACGCCGCTCCGCCGGTAACCCGGCTAATACAAACGACCGCTCATTCGCCGCGAACATAATCAGAATGCTAATTCTCAGATCGACGTTGCTACAGCTTCACCGTATCGTCGTATGACTAACCGGTTCTCTGTCGGAACGTTTTGAAACATGTTTATACTTTTCGTGTTGCGTCGTGGCTGGTGCCAGTAGTGGGGTATCGAGAATCAAGTAATGATACGTTAATCAATGTCATTAAGTTCATAAGGCAGGGCACAAAGCGTACAAAAATGCAATGAACATCTTTTCCTTTTTGTTGGTTAGATAATAACAACTGTAGAGAAAAAATGTTTTGGAACGTAAACCTGAATCTAAGTGCGCGTTCCTAAACTCATTATAAAAGTGGCGCAACAATTCTGTCCATCACTGGAAATACATCGTTCATGCCTTCCATGCAAATATGTACACATATAACCGCATTTATACACTTTACGTGCACATACATGGAAAATGTACGTACGGTCTATGTGCCAAAATTTATATGGGAAGGCATCAGTGATGCCTAGTGTACGAACAACAAAACTTAAGAAAGTACCGAGTCAAACGTTTAAAAAATATAATTTATTAATATATGTAAATTAAAACATTCTCTCGATTTTCAAAAAGTATTGAATATGTGTATCGCTAAACATATTGTAACATGTGTTATTATTAATATTCTTTATTATTAAGAAATTCAATATGACAGAAATTTATATGTGTGGCACCTTATTCATTCTGTTTTGTATTCAGATTGGAGACACATTACAAGAGGCATGAATAACCAAAAACAGAATTCATACCTGTACAATCCTCACGCGTAACTGTACATATGGTACATAAGTACTTCGAATAAACTTTCATAAAGAAACTTATCGATTAACATGTATAGCAGTTTGCAACGTTAGACGAACGTTACATCGAAATCTGTTGTTGAATCCAGGGTATGTATTTGGCCACATCAACATAAATGATATATTTAACTAGAGCGCAGAGCGAATTTCCAGAAGGTAAAGCTCGCGAAACAATACCACGCAACTCATAACTGCCAGTGATATTATTCAAAAGTATCAGCCCGTTTCCACCGTCACCGTGACAAGGACCCAGTCCATCTTGCGAACCAGCGCAAAAGGTATTATCCGATATCATGAAAATGAATCTAGAATCCGTCCAGAGACAGATCTCCTGCAATTTGAGGAACAAACTTCAACTTGAGGCTTGTAATCAATTTGACACATACAGTTGTCACAGATATACGTAATGAATAGTAATTTTATAATAGCAATTACCTACTTACTTGACTCACTATCGTCGCCCTCACCATCCGCTGATCGTCAAGATCACGACGGTTAAACTTGTCTTTACCCCATCCTACGACATATCCCGTCCTACTAACGACGTCTTCAAGTTTACTTGACCCGGACCATAGGCAAATAGGCCTGATGAGAGGAGTGAACTCGACGACGTTCTTGAGGGTCACAACCGCGAGATCGGAATCAGCTTTGAGATAGTGAACATAATCGGGATGAATCACGTAGCTCGCGACTTTCCGATTGGCAGATCTATCTCCGCGCAATGGGTTCAAGTTAAATCGCCCCAGAACCACTTCCAACATGTCGATGGGTACTGTTTCGTTACTGGTAGTTACGTGCAGTTTCATACAGTACCCCGCTGTAAAAAAGACATACGTATGACTTATATTTAGTAACGATCCAAACTTTCTATCCTGTACGCCCTACCAATATTACATACTTCAAATGTGATACTCTGGAATTTAATTAAATCGCTTAATTTAGTATGACATAAAATACCTGTGTATGCATAAAAACATTTATATTGATACAGCGCCCAAATAATTCTTTTTATATACATCACAACAAGTTCTTAACGAACTGGAGATAATCTCGAGGAAATATTATGCTTAAAACAGAAAGTACATGCTCGTTATGTGTAAATACAAATAATACAAAAAGGTCTGAAATAATGAAGAAGAGCTGTTAAAGATGACAGTGCGAAAATATGTATATGTAAGTATTTGATATACGAATGTTTCGGAAATACTGTGCCATCGTTTACTAAACAGCGCATACTTCTCTGCGCCACGCTCGCTACTTAATATTAATGGATAAAAATTATTATTTTACTAAAAACAATCCGGAAATTGTACGTAGGACTGGAAACTAACTCACATACAGTTAGTTCAATACATGGACTATGAAAATAATGACGTTTCTCGATTAACATACCTGTTAATATATGTCTGTTTGTTAAAAGTGAACCACCACATCGAAACTTCTGTGTTCTTCGATACCCTCCTGTTTCAATAACGAAGATTGCGACTACCCACGGCCACTGGCCTGGTAATGAGGTCTCACCATCGGGGATCAGTTTATTTGTTCTATCGGTGTAGTAACCGGTAACACCGCATTCGGCGTTGTTATTGTAGTACGGATTGTCTATGCGGTAGCCACTCGAATTTCGATGCCACGGCTGAAAATCCTGAGGCAGTGGTTCTTCGTTCGGAAGGTATACAATATGCCCCACCTCAATATTGGCTATGATACTTCCACTAGCCCCTGACAATGCAATGGAACATATCTCTTAAATCGCACATTAATTCAGAATACGAAAAGAGTTTCATTTCCTTTTGAGAATATAAATAATTTCCAACCAAAATAAATAATGGTAAAATTCATCGTACCTAAAGATGGAAAGTGATATGCACGATAAAAACGAATTAGTGACCATTTTAATGAGAGTTTTACTATTTATCTCTTACGACACCAGGCAGATTATAGCTACTACATAAAGGACAGCTGACTCGTCCGCCATCTTGGAGCCCAAACGTTTGACTTTGACAAATGCATTTCGGCACAAGATATGAATTTCTTATTCTAAATTAATTGTTAATAAAATCCAAATTACGTCTTTGTTTTTGGAAAGCTATATTTTTATTTATTTATACAAAAATTGTGGACAAGAATCAAAGAAATAAAACACAAGAGATGGATGAATTAATTAATTAATTACGGTTTTCTGAAATGCAGATTTGGAACCGTTGCTTACGGTATTTTTTTTATCACAAATTTCAAAATTGTTGCTAAATGTTGAATTATCTCGTGGAAAAGAGGCAACTTTAACTGAATGTCTTGACTTAGGAGTGTTGAAAAAAATTTCTAGTATAACATATGAAATGTTTCAATATACTGAGAGTGTTGTTCAAAACAATATGACAGATTTATTGCAAAAATTAGTATCTTTCAAAATTATTATCAATTATGTAAAGGATAAATATGATTCTTTGTTTCCTCAATGTTGTAATATTCTACATTATTTACTTGAACACTATACAACTGTACGAGGTCTAGGAATAAGAAATTTTAAAATTTGTGATAAAAAAAATACCGTAAGCTACGGTTCCAAATCTGCATTTCAGAAAACCGTAATTAATTAATTAATTCATCCATCTCTTGTGTTTTATTTCTTTGATTCTTATCCGCAATTTTTATATAAATAAAAATATGGCTTTCCAAAAACAAAAACGTAATTTGAATTTTATTAACAATAAATTTAGAACAAGAAATTCATATCTTGTGATGAAATGCATTTGTCGAAGTCAAACGTTTGGGCTCCAAGATGGCGGACGAGTCAGCTATCCTTTATCCAGTAGCTGTAAGGCAGATGCAAGAAAGAATTAACGACTGTATTAATCGCTTCTTTTTCGTCGATTATAGGTATGTTATATTTGTACTTCATTTTTATCAAATACGGTACTCACCTGCGGGGCCGACACAATATTGCCGATTATTAAACCATATCGCGGATAATGTTGGCAATTTTGGGTCCGAGGGAAAATTAATATGATACACCAAAGATCTGCCTTGTCGAATAACTTGAACGGTGTCTTTTATCGGTCGTGCCAATTCTATTCGAAATACCCCATTCTAGAACGCAAAGATAATTAAGCTATTTCTAATGAATAGACAGATGACTAACGATAAATTCTGTTAAGAATGAAATTAACCAGTTAAAGGTAAGCTTTGAGAGTACAATGCAACTACAAGGCGTAAAATTACTTTCGAGTTAAAATTATATGCGGAAAGAAATTAACGTTTTACAATCTTTAATAATAAAATATATAGTTGAATATTTCGCCTCCTTAACTAACATCCGCGATGTGGTAACACGTAAATCCTTTGACAGGTAAGCTATTTATTTCTATAATTTATTAGGAAATAAAATTAAGAAATGACAAACCAGACAAAAATTACAAATTGTACATTAATCCTCGATTATCTGTGTCAAACCACCAGTAAACCATATTTTTCACTTAGCTTTAATAATATCTATATATTAAAAGATTATTTGACATATTTCAAAATATGCAGAACAGAAATCATTTTGTGTAAACATTTTCTTATGTATATAGTTTAAAACATATACTTACCAAAGATTCAGCGGTAGCATTTAAGGCTACTTTTAAATAAAATTCGTCATTTTCTGGCGGAGAAACAATTTCGATCCGACCATATATCTTGCCTGTCTCAGGGTCGAATGTATGTGTGAAGTATTCCGAACACAAAGTTGCTCCATGTACCATGGTACATAATAGGTGCGACAGAAACGCAAATAAGATACAAATCTTAGCCATCTTGACAAGTTCTATAAATAATAAAAAAATGCATATTGTCTATCAATCTTTATTTAAGAAACTTGTTAATTAGTTACGATTTTTTTTACTATCTCACATGATTTCAAAATAATTGCCATAATCAAAGTGGTATCAACATTAGCTTTGTCGACTTTTTACATCAAGAGAAGAAACTTATTAAACATTTTTTAAAAATTAAACAAGAATTAATATGTTTGTAAGCAAAAAATTTGTTAACACTATTTAATCTGCCGTGACAATGCGGTAATATGATAGATTCCTAATTAGTATTTAAATATGCTCAAGTATTAATTTTGGTATAATAAATTACAATAGATTAGAGACTAGGATCTCGATATATAATGTAATATTATAATGTGCTTTGCGGAATTATGACAGATGCATATGATGGAGAGGACGATGATCTCTTGTTAAAGCTGATATTTTTTTACATAAAATGTTATACGAAGTTTTCTACATTCTGATGCGTTCGCATTATTTGACGCGCCATAACAATAAGTAATTTATTAAATCTTATACGCTGTTGAAACGGACAGGCTAGTCCCAGTACCTCGGATTCAGATGTGCACATCTATTTTCTTAGTCAACAACATAAATTTGATAACAGAGTTGAGAATTGTATAAACAGTTTGCATTAACGATAAATATATTTAGTTCAAAGATATTTTCTCGATAAAGTGGATAAAATTGAATTAAAAACTTATAATACTAAATACGCTTATTATTGAATATAGTATTTATTATTTGCTGAAAACTCTTCAAAGGAGGACGAAACGCTTCAACTATGAACTGTGACTTGTTTAATACGTCACAAGTAGATTAGATAAAATAATTTCGCTTTTGTAACATTATTCACTTTCCCGTTGGAATAAACATTAGCGACAATTACAATATTTTTGAACATTCTGCACTCAGTGTTGATCAGCTAAATGAAATCCAATCTTTTAATAGAACTTTTAAAAACAATGCAAATTTAATAATCTCTGCAAACATGCAACTTTAACTGGAAATAACCATTTCATACTTAATCACTTGGGATATTATTACTAAGATCCATATTGAGATTCAAACGAAACAGAGGATATTTCATATTAATGAACAGAGTTTGGAATATTATAACAACGCGAGATATTGCATATGGAACTAATCGCAAATATGCATTGTAAAGTATGTACATGCGATTAAACAGCAAATCTGAAAAAAAAATCTTTGAAACACATGTTTCAGAGAAATGTTTTATAACACGTTTGCTAATTTCTTGAGTCGATCACCTTTAACAATAACCCTATTCTGAATAGATCATAAACACCTGTCTATGAATCTATTTTTCGCAGTCTGGGAGCACATATACATCTTGCACTGTGATTATTCCATAATAGGAAAACCAATTTTGACGAGAACGGTTGTCATTTAATTACACGTATAATTATCTGTTTTTATTTGTTATGTTCATTTACATCCTTTTACTGTCATAAAAATAAGAGAATTATCATTTATCTTTTGTTTTTTAAAATATCACTTTGCAATTTCTTATTAATAGTTTTAATGTATTTCAAGCGTTTCGAGTTATACTTTACATCTTGTTTTTAATATTTTACTTATTTGTTAGGTTAGGTTTGTACTTATTTTGTTCTAGTACACGTTGCTTTAACACTTTTTCACAATATTTTAAAATATTTATCGTATGGTAGTGAAATTTAGTATTACGTCGACTGATTCCACGTATTCACTATTTGGAATACAATTTCGGATCGACCTTGCTACAACTTTACCGTATCGTCAGAAGGCTAACCAGATCTCTCTCGGAACACTTACGAAGAACGTTTATAGTTTTCTTGTTGTAGTCACGTTTGATGCAGTAGTGGGGTACCAAGAGTTAAGTAACGATGAGTCAATCCACGTCAATTAATTCATAAGGCAGCACACAAATCATCATAGACGAATGCAATGAACGATAGGAACGGAACGTGCCTGGAACACCTTTTCCTTTTTTCCTTTTTGATGATTTGACAGGAAAAAATGGGAAAATCCTCAGACGTTCAAATAAGTATTCCAACTCCCCAACGATTACTCAAAAAACAAAAAATGTATTCATGTAATTTTACGATGATATGAGTAACAACTAAACATTTTCTAACGCTCGTCAAATCTAATGAAATTATTATTAAATATACTTTTATTGTTCCATTAAGGTTATTCTCGGTTCAAGTGTTTTGTTCTAACATTTAAACTTCCTCAAATTACCACAAAATATATTACAATTTTTTACTTAATGTAATTCCAGTTTATGTAAACAGAAAAACACAAGTGAATCTGCTTAGAAAATTTAGAAGATACAACCATATACAATTATTCCAAGTAGCAAAAATAACGAGAGTAGTTCCGTTATTTCTTTGTCACACGTATGTTTGCTGATAGCAATTGTGTGTGACTGACGATCGAAAACGATATTCTTCTGAAGGCAGCAGGAAATTCATTAGCAAACTTCAAATACTACGTTTTTACTCATCTTATTACCATGTACAGTGATGGATACAATGATTACGATACTTTTTTTAAGTAAGTTTAGGAACATGCATTTAGATTACGTTCCAAAATCTTCTTCGCCGATGAATATTTGCTTGATGGCCATTCTGAAACCATTTTGAGCGTGTTCGATTTATGTATTTCTCTAGTAAAATTATCCGAAGAGAAAAGGTTTTGGAACGTAAACTTGAATCTAAATGTGCGTTTCTAAATTCATTATAAAAGAGTCGCAACCATTCTGTCCATTACTTCATGTACATTAGATATCATTTATGCCTTCCCCGAATTTGTGCACATATGAGCACATTTATACATACATGGAAAATGTATGTATGTTCTATGTGCCTAAATTTATTTGGGAAGGCATCAGTGATGCCTAGTGTACGGACAACAAAACGTAAGATAGTAACGATTCATATATTTAAAAGAAAAGGATATAATTTATTAACGCGTGTAAATTAAAACATTATCGCGATTTTCAAAAAGTATTGAATGTGTGTATCGATTAGGGCTATCGATTGGATACTTGTTTTAAGATTCACGTGTACACGTAATCCGTGTCCACGGATTTAAGGTACCTTCATTCACGTGTATCTGTGTACGTGATACGTGTGCACGTATAGTCGTGTATGTGACACGTGTATTCGAATATTCGTGTAAGTGTGATACGTGTAAACGTGTGCAAGTATTTATCAAAATTTGATGAAAGATCCCTATTTCTGCATATGTTTTTCGATATATTATATGTATACGCATAATTCCAGCATTCCAAGTTTTATCCAGATTTTGTCACATAATTCTCTACATATTTCCCTATTGAAGTATACACGGCTACACGTTTACACATGTCACGTACACGGATATTCGTTCACGTGTTCACGGATTCACGTAAAT